AACGTAGTGCAAGCTGAATCCTTGGGTTCCTTTAAATCAGAGCTAGATAAGATTTTAACAACTCTGAGCTATTAGTTAAGTTCTCCCTAAGCGAGCTCGATGGGCCGAATGGCCTCCTCTTGTTTGTATAGTTCTTATGTTCTTATAACTGTGGTTTCCCATGAGGATCTGGCTGCAGGACACTGGGTGGCTTCCAATCCGGGACTGGAACTCACATGACCTCAGACATGATGTTATGAAAACTTCAAGAACAGAAGCAGCACATCCACTAGGGCCATGGCCAAATTCAGCGGCTGCATCCGTTAATGGACACAGTCTCGATGAAGGCGTAGCCTTTGTAGGCTGCATTCTTTGAAGGCTGAACAGAAAGCACTGTCAAATGGGACGATTTGGCCTATGGATAATTTCCTAATTGCATCGGCAGCTGTTCCCACCATTACCTTTGAGTCACGAAGAGTCGCTCCTATCGCCTAGCCAGGATGCACACAATTTACCTATGTGCAATGAATCTTGGGATATGTTGGGTTGCAATGGATCCATCAGGAGGACCCATTTCTAGACTGCATTTGAATGAGCCTTTGAACTGGGACAGCTTTGTCACACTGCTGTGACACATTCGGTTTGCAAATGCAACCTTAGAAGGGTGCAGCCCCTGAATTCAGGCTCAGCCTAGAAGGCTGAAAACCACAAAACCTCCACAATAATGCTGGATATGACGTTAGTGCAACACTGGGAACTGACTTCAATTGTCTCTTTTACGGTACATTTTTGCTATTTTGGTGATAGGAATCGACGTTAATAATCTCATTTAAAGCTACAGGAAGTAGCTTAGTCTAATTTACATTTGCAGTCAGTGTGAAATTTTCACCTCTATGTAGCTTAAGATATGAGAAATATCCATCTCCATAATTTTAAACGAAACAAGGTAGAATCTATCCACTGCTTTATTAGGTCTCTCTAATAGCACCATGCTGAGCCAGATGTGGAGCTCATGTCATTTCTAGCCCCACAGTGGAGGTCCTCCTAGTGGTCATCCCCCAGTGCTCTGCAGCCAGACCCTTGTAGAGGATACTGTCGGCCTGGTAATGTTTCACGGACCTGTGGTTGAGAAACATTGCTCTGTTTCTAAGGGGAACCAACCGAAAAGGAGAAACAGCCAAATGAATGTATATTTCTCTCTCTCACACACACACAAATATTTCAATAATTAAATGTGCAATTTTATTTTTAAATAATGCAATAAAATTTAGACCTATTGTATTTCATAATAATGATGTAGCTTCAACTTAAGATATTTAAATTGTGTTTAATAATAATGTGATTTTCTTTAGACAGTCATTTTTATAAAATGTTTTACAGATTGCAAAAGTGATCACCAAAATAATTCATTCACATTTCACACTTCCGAAAGATTGTTTTCTAAATCAGCTTTTTATTTCACAATGGCACTTTTTGTTATAAAGTTGCACCCTGTCAATCAGTTTTAGGAGAGCAGGACTACCACTACCATTCTGACAATATCACGGGTCTTTTAACCTCCAAGTGAATCAAATTATGAATCATAAAGCTGCTACTCTAATACCTTTAAACGCAATTGCTAAACTTAGAAGAAAAAAATAAATCAAGTTACGGGAAGAATATTTGTTCCGCCTACTCTCCTACATCTTACCGGAATTCTGACTAGCAATGCTGATGCTACAAATGGTGTATGCAGACAGTATTCACCAATACTAATAGACATTACTCAGGAAAAAAAATACATTAGACACCTTAGGTAATTTGGGTTGCAGTAAATTGAATGCCTTTAAAAACATTTAATCAAGATTACAGTTAAAATAAGAAAAGAGGTCAGTTTGTTTAACGAGTAACCCGGACTCAACGTTTTAAAGTGAATTTAAAATAAGACTTAGTATCACATAGTCAGGGGTGCCAATAAAGATTTTGGGCCCCATGACAGCATATTATATTGGGGCCCCAACCCAAATCTATTGGATTATGTTCCAAATGTTTTAGGGCCACAGTCACACAGGGGCCCTTGCAATCGTCTTAACTTTCCCCAGCTTTACGGCACCCCTGCACACAGTAGGCATGCAGTCACTATGTGTTCTTCATTAGCTACAGTCATTCCATCAAAACTGTGCTTTTATCCCACTTCTGACTAAATTTATTTATGAAAAATATAAAATATAATTTAACATAACAGCAGCATGGCTACGTCATGAAGTTGACCCCGGCTGAATGCACTTCACTTCTTACACAAGAATTTTTTTTAATTAAAACTTTTTTTTAAATAAAAGTTGACAAATAAAAAATTGTGAGAACTCAGCTTTATTGGATAAACAAAAAATATACAGTATTTACGAAAAGGCTATAAATATTGTAAGCTGAAATAAACATTGGCAGGCAATCAAAGACAATCACACAAGGCAAATTATTATTATTTTTTTTTTAAAAGACACTTCATTGCTGACAGTAAGTACAGGCTAAACAGAACGATAGAAAAAGCTGCAGGTGCTCTGAGATAAATGACTAAATCTCAAAAACCAGCGGTAGCTTTCATTCATCCTTCTCAGTCATGCTTTCAAGGCGATGTTGACGATAAAAGTATGCGATGAACACAATGGCCATTCAGGCAACGAAGATGAAACAGAATTATACATTTATACACAGATATGTTTTAGGTGTTCCTGCCCAGTGCTCATGTTTCACAGATTGTTCCTTGTTCTGCGTCAGAGTTTATTCTTTGAAAATGTTGAATCAAATGATCTCATGTTGGCTCAAGCTGATCTCATCGCGGGACCATTTGAAAAACATCTGCATTCTGTGTGCATTCCTCACATGGTGAAAGAAGACCCGTTGTCATTGCTGCAGCCATCTATGGACTTCCTGGACAGGTACGTCTCCGAGGTGAACCAGGATGAGCGCCTGGAGTAAATGTACCGCTTCCCGATGCACCACAAGTCCTCCATGATCTTCCGGAAATGGTTTCTGAACTTCACTCCTATGAAGGCGTACAGCACCGGGTTAAGGCAGCAGTGCAGATAGGCCAGGCTTTCTGTAACGGCCAGGCCTTTCAGGATGTTAATCTCCTCTGAACAGTCCTTTTCATTAAACTTGACCAGGGTGTGGTATAGGAGTGTGGCATTGTAGGGGAGGTGGCAGATGATGAAGACAACCACCACAGCCATGACGACCCTCACGGCCTTGTGCCGTTGGAAGTTCTTTGCCTTCAGCAGAGTTATGATGATGCTGATGTAGCAAAAACCCATGATGAGGAATGGAACGAAGAAGCCCATGACCATCTGCGTGGTGGGGATGGCGACTTTCAGAACCTTCGCAGTATCGTTGTTGCTGAACCTAAAATAGCACAGCATCCCTGGTTCCTTGTGATTTTCAGACAGTTCACTCCTAATATAGCTGTCCAGGTTTGTACTGTTTTCCAGGAAATCATCGAACCATGCAATGCCAGTATTGTTTATCGGGTAATATTCAGGGTTTTCGCTGTATTTCTCACTGTACATGAATGTGGGTACGGAAAGGCTGAGAGCCAGCACCCAGACGGCCACGCAGATGATACGGCTGTAGGTCATGGTCTTGGAGCGGATCCCAAAGGATCTCCTGGCCTGCACAATAGCGAGATAACGGTCACCGCTGATGCAGGCCAGCAGCAGCATACCGCTGTAGAGGTTGACGCTGTAAACACCCCGAAGCAGCTTGCAGGATGCGTCTCCCATGACCCAGTTATACTGCTCATTGTATATGATCAGCGGCAGAGTGACCACAAACATCAGGTCGGCGATGGCAACGTTCAGCAGATACACGTCTGTCATGGACTTGGCCCTTTTGTAGAGTGTGTAGGTGACTATGACCAGGATGTTCCCCAGAAGGCCCAGTATACAGACGGCAGCGTGGATGCAGATTCTCGCCACCTGAAATCCGTCCTCCTTGTTTTCCATGTCACATGGCTCAACGATAGAATAATTATAATCCATTTTTTCCACTCGGGATTTTCTGGAATGAAGAAAAAAAGAAAAACACGCATCATATCAAAAAGAAAGCTCAGACCCCATTTTCCACAAAACATTTGCAAAAAATATACAACCTCGTGCATTAATTCTAATGTAAAAATTCAGTCATATAGATACTCGTATGTTTTAAAAATATCTTTTTAGGAGTTGTTCTTGCTCAATAGAAACATATCCAAGCATTTCCCAGAAAGTATCATATACCACACAAATATACCTGTAGAATGTTATTGCCCTATTCCAAAATACCCCCCCCCCCCCACACACACACACACGCACACACACACACACAAACAGTCTTCGTATCCATATGTTTATGGGGACTCTCCATTCATTTCTATGGCCAAAACCCTAATCCCCTAATCCAAACAATGACACCCTACCCAGCTTTACCACTAACCATAAGTAATCAAACATAATACAAGACTTTTAGGCATTTTTATTTTGCTTTTTTGATTCCATTCACAGTTTATTTTTTAATAAAATTGAGGTTATCCTTGTTGGGGACTGAAAAATTTCCCCACAAGGTAAAAAGTTACAGGTTTCTATCACGTTGTGGGGAAATCTCGTCCCCAGAATAAAATATGCACAAAATCGCATATACACACACAGCTCTGCCTAGATAACTCTGATCCAGTATAATGACTTTTATATGTAGTCCTGAGCAAAAAAAAAGAAAAACATTCATTCGGGGGGTGAAAACTGTGCAGTCTTTGCCAGCCTGACGGTGACACACTGTGGGACGCCAGTGATGTACATCAATTACAAATTACTATTTTTGCTGCATGATTAAATAGGAGAAGAATATTTACAATATCAGTTACACCTCTATAAATCTGACGATGTGATTTTAAATGGAACTGAAGTTCAGCAACTAAACATGGACTATGTATTCTTGGACTGTTTTTTTTTCTGAAAATAATATGAACAATCAAGTGAAATTTGTAATAATTGTCATAAGACGACAAGCTTCACAGAGAAACACAAGAAGGATGTATTAAAAATGATCATTTTCAGGAAGGAGTCAGGGAATAATTATTATTGATTTTGATGTAACTGAATTACATCAAAATGTATTTGAAAATTTTTGCAAGCAGTTTGCATATGACTGCAGAACATTAAAAAAAGAACATAGCAGGTTTTTAATGACATTTGATCTGGGAAATGAATGTGTCTTGCATTGATATTGCAATTGAGCTCCTTTCAACTTGTCCTACTTTCAGTAACAAAACCCAAACTTCTGTCCTACTTTCATTCACGGCACAAACTTTAATGCTGCCCTACATTTGACATTGAAACCTTGAGTAATCTCTGTATTTTATATACACATATATATATAAATACAGATCTTAATCTGTGCCGCCACTGATATTGCTCATGCCTTGATGCTGAGGACATCCCTCAGTAAAACCGAAATACTGGGCCGGATCTAGTTATAGGTACAATAAGAAGTTGCCTGGGGTCCCCAAATCACCTGTGCTGTGGAGAAAGCGGAAAGATCATAAGTTTTCCTGGTAGGGGGGCTTCCTAAGTAAAATTTTGCCTTGGGCCCCTGAAAAGGCTGAGCCGGCCCAGTCATCATCGCATGTACCCTATTGGCTCAGGTGTCTGAAGCTGAGGAGCATGACATCTATATGAAAAGCAGACGTCCCTCTGAGGAGGCAGCAGCGGCTGCTTTTACCCAATGGGCCCTCGGCAGAGCTGCAAAGCTGCCAGCGGCTCATGCTGACAGGTGATGATGTTCTCACACCGGGCCCCTGACCCACTTTCATCTGCTCGAGTGACAGCACCAGGTGGCAGATCTTAATCTCATTAGCAAAACCACAGCGTCCGTCCGGCACGTTGCCGTGGTGATTCAGCACCCATGCGGATGCACGACAGCAGTGCAGACAGGAGTGTCTGTCCTCCATTCTGCATGGAAACCCGTTAGACGTCCATTCAGGTCCTTCTGATCCTGACATCATAAAAGCTGCGTCTCGCAAAGTTAACATCTCCGCATAGATTTTAATGAGGAAAAAACCTCACTTCAGAGCAAGACCCCAATAATATCAGCAAACCTCCAACCTGTTGTCACTTCTGAAGAAAATTCTTATTGACACTGAACATTAAAGTCTATTCCAATATACATAAATCATTGAAAAATATCTTGCAATGTTACCAGAATAAACTCAATATTAAAAATCTTTTTATATAATTGTTTGCATTAAAAATAATTCTCCTAAACATATTTTTTTTATTTCATCAAAAGGACCTTGCTCACTTTTAGATGAAAGACATTTTTCTCACTCAATATAATGTTTCATATTCCCCTCCTATATCTAAAACCATGGGATATAACTAATAGATAAACAAAAATGAATAAAAAAAAAAGTCCAAATGGAAATTTGTATGATCCATCCATCCATCCTAGTTAGGGTCACAGACTATGATTATATATTCTTGAATACGTCACATGTGAACATATACTTTTATGAATATCAATTCATATTGACATACTAATTAACAGTGTGATTGTGGCCTGAAAGGATGCAGTATTTAGGACAAATCTCCTTACCACAAACCTCAAACGTTTACTGGCTGTAATGTCACGCTTAAAAGTGAGTCATGTCTATGCAGTATTGTTGTGTGGGGCATTGGTAAGCATTTATCTTCTTGCCACCAGGACATAAGAACACCTGAGTATAGGTGTGTTAAGGTTACTAGTTAAAGACATGTTCACTAGCTGTTTGTAAATGAGCTACTAGTATGAATGAGGACATCTGTAAATGTATTACAATATGCAATCTTTGGCACAGTTACAATTTATGTTCTTATACACTTCTGTGTTCTAAAACAAAAAGTTTTTCAAAAGCTTAGACAATAGCGCAGCACAATAGTGTGAGAATAGATAATCGCAGGTAGTTACATGATTACAATGGACTTCCCTGTTAAGTTGGAAATGTACGGTTTGTGGCTACCAGCATGGCTTGAGTATACAACAGAAGTAGACCATATTTTCACTACCTACGTAAGTTGTTAAAAAAATAAAATAAAAAATTCTGTGCTGCGATACAAGAAGCTGATTCATTAATAAAGCGCAACACTGAAGTCTTGTGTATCCTCGATGTATTTTCACAAAAACATAAAATATAAACATAAAAAACGCTGGTGAGGAAGCACCAGACTAGAAATTTGTAATTTATATTGTGCTCTTCAGATGTGTGTGTATCATACAGAAATGTTTCTGCAGGGATATTGCCCTGAACTTCATGTTTCATACAATTCTGGTATGTTTGTACATACTGACAAAGTGATGCGATCCATCTCACAGTGTATAAGGACCAAAGGTGTCTCGGTCACATCTGGGTGCTGATGTAGAGTCAACAGTTTGGTCTGGATACAGAACCGGATGAGCTTCTCATCAGGGGTGGGGGTGAATGTTCTAAGATTGCTCCCCAGGACCAAAAAGTCACTTAAATGTCAACTCACTGGGCAGGGTTCAGATACAGAAGGAATCTAATTCATTGTCTTTGATGAGGGCCATATATCTGTCACTGGGTCAGCTTCTCTCTTTTTCGGTTTCATGCTGATAATCTGGATGATAAAATGTTTGCACAACCACGGGCTCTGTGGTGAAACACACGTGTGCCGTTTAAAATAACCACACAGAAGCTCCACAGAGCGTTCTGGGCTGTGTCACACCTAGGTGGTCAGGAGCAGCAGCGTCGATAAGTGCACAGCAGTCTTATGAACTGAAGGGATGACTGTCAGAGACCAAGCGTGTAACACACACAGGATACCCTGCAGAATTGTCACTACCTTTCTGGAACTTTTTTGCACTTTTGAGTGAAGGGAGGCAGTGGCGATGGAGAAGCTCGCTCGCACTGCAAACCCAGCACTGTAGCAGTGGAGTGCAGCTGCAAATTCAGATCTCGGCACAGATATATTTTCTTTAATTTATAGTGTTTCATGTTGGTGGCACCTACATTGTTTTAAAACCTTCAGAATACGAAGATATTTTTTGACTCTGTAGATATGAGTCAGTGAGCCAAATAAAGGTCACACTGAAATTAACGAAGAAACAAAAAAAGAATCCCACGTTAAAATTCATCACTATCAGATTGCATCAAGAATCAATTAAAGGGCATCTCTTTGACAGAAGCTTGACGTAAAGTAGCTGAAAACAAAATTCAAGATTTACCAAAAATACTGCAATTTACTGTTGCAGGATTGTTGAAATGTAAATGTAATCCAAAATAATAAACAGTGAATTTTAAGTGATTTTAAGCAAATGACAGGTTATATAATTATACCATATATCTATAAAAACGAATGCTTTATTGTGTCGTGCGCATACTGCGCCGACAACACAGGCTTATAAGACATCAAAAGCACAACATTTTATGTGCTAAGAAGTCCTTTGTAAATCATAGTTTTACACAATATTGGTTTCTATTACCTCATAACTTCAACTAACTAACCTTTAAAACTAACCTAATAACCCAAAATATACTATTTTTAAGTTAATATAAGCAGTTTGTGCGAAATATGAAAAACAAAAAAATGTCAATATGAAATAAAGCCATAACTCATTAGCAGTAGCATAATAAATTAGATGTATAAGATATGTAATGCTACCAAAACTGTAATAATTACACTAAATACCATTATTATGCAATGTTTTATGTTTGAAATCAGAGCACAACATTACATGAGGGCAGATCCATATTTCTGGCATTATTTTTTTAATAAAAATTTTAAAATGAGAACTTACCTACTTCCGAACGGGCTGGACTCCTACAACAGCCTGTATGGTGCAGAATTTCTTTCTTATTAAATTTTTTGGCGTCCCCAGAAGTCTGTCTCAGGAGTTAGGCACACCTCGACGCTCTTTCACTAATGAGCTCTCATCAAAGGCTGAAGTACGGCACAGGCTGGAGCGCTCTGAGTGTGTGCTGACGTCAGGACCACACAGATCTTTTGCCAGCCTTTGTAAAAGGCTGCGCTTATCGCTTTAACCATGCTGCACGTCAAGATAACCATCCCTCTCATAATCATCTCATAATCATGAATAACAGCAGAAACAAGCCATGGTGTGTGAGGTGACTGGAGTCTCTCAGGCTGTTTAAATGAGAGGAGGCTTTACTGGCTTGCGGGTGGAAATGGTGACATTTGGCAGTGGTATCAGACATTCTAAATGGGGAACTTAAGGCGTAAACAAAGTCTTGAGTACACAGAAAATATTTTCGGTTGTTGAAAAAAAGGCCAAAGCCACAGAAGAATAACACCATTTCTGACAATTTGGCAGAAGAGTGACATGCACAGAAATCTAACATGAACACTGCGCACATGGGTGGTCTGGAGAAGCAGAAACACACCCGGCTCCTGTCAGAGGGGGGCCATCTACTGAAATGTGCTCCATGGCAAAGAGAAATGACTTGTTTTCCCCCCTTAGCAGCCTTCTCCACCCCGCGATTGTGTAAAACTCTGAATGAAAACAATGAATCAAAGTCTCATTGACTGGCAAACATATTAAACAGTTACACATCACTTTCATATAGTGATTTAAATCTGATTTACCTAAAAAAATAAAAAATAATTAAAGATTTCATCCCAAAATCCAGCCGGGATTCCCTGCCTTTCAAAAGCCTCAGGATTAAGGTTGACAGTCATTCACCATGGACATCCCAAGTTGGGCCTCAACCACATTCACTGCAGACTGTCCTCATACTGCAGCAGAGAACGTCTGGCCGTGTCTACCTGCCCTTCCGCTAGAGCAGTGTTTCTCAATTCCTCGGGGATCCAGAGACAGCCCACATTTTGCTGGGGGCTGGGAGGGAGCAAAAACGTGGACCGACTGCAGGTCCCTGAGGACCGGATTGGGAAACACTGCCCTAGAGATACAGCCGTTATGAGGATGTGGGATAGTCGTCTCCCTGGGGTGGCTGGTGACCCCTGACAGACATCACACCTCCTGCAGGGCTGCTGCCTGTGGTGATGGTGGCTTTCACACATGGCCTTGCAGGACAATATTTGAAACCACCCGAGACAGACAGAGCATGATTTGCCTCCCCCCCACCACCTATAAACGCTCTGAAAGTGTTTTTGTCTTTGCTTCGTTTACAAAGACTGGTGTCCTTAATCGACATAACTAAAATGAATCACATCAACTGCATCCTCTCACAGTCAGTTTGCATGCCGTGGATTTTGATTCATCACTGCATTTTCATACTTGATCAGTCAGGCATGTTTGCAGGCTTCTTTCATGGAGCTACTTCCATGAAACCAAAACCAGAAATAGATCTGTTTCTCTGCTGTGTCCGATGTGTGCAGCACCTCACAAAATCCATTTTTTTCTTGCAAAATTACGTGCTTGGCAAATGAAATTTTTAGCACTGATATATTTAAAACCTGACACTGGATAAATTGATGCCAAAAATAGTAACGTCTTGTCTGCTGTGTCTTGCAGGTCTCAAGCAATAAAACAACTTATATACTGTGTTTATTAAATTTCTCCAATAATGTACATTCCTGATAATATACACTAGCAATTAATTACACCTCTGAAATTTCTCGGGTAATACCCCGAAGTTTTGTTTGTGACTGGACAGACGACAGAAACGCATGCTGGATAGTTAAGATATGGAAAAATGCGACACAGCAGTGTTTCGTAGCTGCGTCACGGAGTGGGAAAGATCCACATTCACTAACAGATAGTGTGTTCATTGAGAAAGTTTCACAAAAGCTAAAACAGGCCCGTAAGCATAAGCTACACATGGAAAACAGAGGCTTAGAGCAAAGCAGCCTTTCTGGATCAATTTACTGCGACATTGAAAACTAAATCTCGTCCAAAGACACGGGGCAGAGCTGTGTCTCAGGGTTGCCATGTTTTAACTACTTCAGCAGTGCTAATAATACATAAGCAACTACTGATGTAGCTATAATGCATGAAGCTAAATTATATCTCTCAGAAAACAGTAAATGTACCATTGATAGACTTCAAATTGAATTTGCGCTTTAAACGCAGGTTTGGAAAAAACGAGGGAATTCACAGCAACCCTGAGAACAGCCCAGCTGCCAGGAACGGATGTAGGTTTTTAATGCAAGGCAGATTCAGATATCCTTTTCTGGTCCACTTCTCTTTTCAGAACTGATGATAGAAACCCACAGAGCACACACTGTGTCTGGGTTCACAAGCATCACCTTCAAACAGGATCACAACATCATATATATTTTTTGTACATAGTTCAAGCCCAGAGCCACGTGTGGATTCTTGAACCATCCTCAAAAGCAGTCCATCGAGGTCATAAATATCCATCCAGCGTTTTGTTTAGTCTCCCAAAACAGGTGGCAATGAGTGTTTGTGGTTCCAGCTCGGCTGTGACTCACTCGCACACCAGTGTGTGCGGAAGCACCGCGTGTAGCTTTGGCGACGACTGGGGAAGGGGAATCGGGCTGTCAGGCCACCTCCTCCATGTAGTCGGCGGCCTGGCTGAGCTGCGACACGCTGCGGTCCTGGGTGAGCTCCTCAAGCTGAAGTGGAGGATTGGGAGGAGGAGTCAGAGCAAGAGCAGCAGATGCACAGGATGCCTACCCTCCCACCTACACACACACACACACAAGGGTGCTCCCCCCGCTCCCAGGACCACCTCACATCTCTCTTTAAAAGGTACGGAAGCACCGTTTTCCTGCTCTATTGGAGCGGGCGGCCTCCGTCTGAACTTTGCTGCGCCTGTGACATGCCGCGGAGATCCGGTCTTACGGGAACCTGCGGCCCGCAGTTACTGCAAGGTTGCTAACAGTGGTTCTGCAAACTCATTTATCTCTCAGGATTACTAAATCAGTGACAAGATACCTGACCTCAAGGTGCATGTATAGATAATGCCAAGCCTTGGCAGAAACTGCAACAGTTTGGCTGCTCCCCTGATCACCTGCTTTTGAAAGTAAGAACACCCCAGGACCACCTGGAAAGAGCTGCCCCCCCCCACACACCCCCTTCCTCTAGCATGTGAACACCACAGCCCTACCTGTTTGCTTCCTCTCGAACTTACATGACTTTCTCACGGTAGCGAGAGAGCCCCCACCCGCAGAGGGACTGCCGGGCAGACTGCGATAAGGCCTCACCTCCGACACCTTATCGCTGCCCTCGGGACCCTCCACGGACGCCTCGTCGATGTCCTCGCCGATGCTCACCTCACTTTTCGAGTTATCTGACCGATGGCTGGTGCTGAATGGGGGGAAATGAGGACAGGCAGAGAGCTTCATAACACGCAAGTTATGATTAAAAAGAAAAAGAAAAAAAGACAGGCAGCGGAGGAAGTTCAGCAGGCCACATTAACACCAGTACACCAGTACCAAAGATCCACAGAGCACAACAGCATGCTATAGTGAACAAAATAGTAATTTATGAAGAGAGTTATTACCTGTTAAAATCATCATCATAATCATCTTCCTCATCTGTGGGGGAGCACACCCATTTATAAATATACACACATAAATAAAAAATAAAGATGTTATTAAAGAAAGAAATTCCTCATCAGTCTGCTTCCAGACAGCCCATCCTCTGGTAATATGCACCCTTGACATGCCTAGTAAATAGTGCCTAGTGAAGCTTAATTAGAGCATTTCTATGCCAATACCTGGATCCTGCAGATATTTTTAAAGAGTTACTGTAATTCTCAGTCAATGTACACCAACAGCTTCAGATGGCTCCATTCCGCTGCCCTGCCCCCCCTCCCCCACCCCAAGGGATGGCTACCCATAATAAATACATTGACACCCCACATCAGAATTCAAAAACTATGCAAAAACTGTATTATTTAATTTTCTAAGCTGAACCATGAGACAGATAGACACTGTGTGGTCACCCCACTTAAAATCAGCACCCCCCCCCCCCCCCCCATCACTGTGGGCGTTTTTCCACCGCACCAGGTACCGTACTTTCAGTACTTCCATAAAGTGCTGGAAGTTTGGTACTTCTTTCATGGCGGTTTTCCACTGGCGTAAAAAAATGGTATGACATCATCAGTGACCGCCCCTGACTGACAGCCCAAAATTAAAACTAAGTTAAGGCTGGAAAATGCGGTTTATTGTTATGTCAGCTTCTATCACAGTATAAGATTCAGTAAAATCCAAATCATGCTGCCATCAATTACGTTTACGTAGGTACACTTACTTTGGCTAAGCCGATCAAAGCAGTAAGAATTAGCTTACTGCTAATGCAGTCTTTTGAAAGCAAACAAATTATTTAATTATGTTTTTTGATTTTCAAGCGGCATTGTTCGGTGTTTCGCGTGTGCCCCATTTCTTCCAAGCGGCTTGGTATTATGGTGTTCCGGGCAATTCAGTTTCCCTATGTTTCTCCTGTCTATCAGGAAATAATGTTTCCCCTAATATTAAAGCAAAGAGGTATGTGAAATGTCTGAAAATCACTCGGGTACATTATTACATGTGAATACAGTAGATCATCACGCATAATATAGTCTTATAAGCAATACTATACCGTTTTCATCAAGAAATATCTCTATCCAGCGAATTAAGTAATTTCATTTATTATCTGTAAAAACAAAAAACATAGAAAAGGCATGTGATGTTTTAAAATTAATATATGGCTTGTTTACCTCAAGAGCTTCATAAAAAGACCTGAAAACAACAACGAAACCGTGTACAAATCAGCGCGCGACAGGGGAAACTGAATTGCCCGGAACGGCAAAAACTTTTTTATTTCGAGTCGTGCCATCCAAATCCCGCTGGATCTGTTCATCCGACCATATGGCGATTAAAGCCTGTGCTTCCTTATTTGTCCATCCTTCCGTTTTACTTTTTTATATTTTTGTTTCTACTGCTCTTTATTTCGTTTCTCGTTTCTCGCTGTTCGCTGTGTGTATTTTGTGTTTCAGCGGCAGGCTATTTGCATAACCAATTGACAGCAAATACGTTTGCAAGTCCCACCCCAAAGTACCGAAGTACCAAAGAAGTACCCCAACTGGTTTGGCACTTTCGGTACTTTAACTTTCGGTACTGGTACTCGACTGGAAGTCAATGGAAAAGCGAAAGTACCGAAAGTACCGTACTTTGTGCGGTGGAAAAGCGCCCAGTGTCAGGTATCTCACCGCTGTGGTGATCCTGTAGGTCCTTCTGTGCCAGCTGCACTGACACACTGCTCTTGGGTGGGGGGCCGTCGCTCAGAGCACCAAGGGGGGCACTCGCAGGTTTACTGACGTTTATCCTGAGCCACAGAAATTGGGAGTGACATAATATTCATGTTTTGAGACCATTATTTTAAAAAAAAAAATTATGTCTTTGCATCTCAAATTTCAAAATGTCAGGTACTTTAACCATCCAAACAAATGATCAGAAGAATCTACTATTAAACTATTAAAATTTGTAGTTACATACTTTAACTTTAATTAAGTTAGGTAGCTTTAAACTCATAAAAAGCTGCAAAAGGTTTTAAAAGACTACATAAAAATGTTTGTCTGCAAATCTACATTACCTCATATGTCAGGCAGCAAAGCTAGCAAAAGGTTTTAATTTAAAAATCACCTTAGAAAACAGTGACAGAATAAAGAACAACAACATAAGCGACCTTAATGGAAAAGGTTCATAGATCAAATATTGAAAAAACTCATGGTTAAGCTTGCATAGTTTTCATGTCAGGTGGTACAACCAATGGAAAACCATGCTGCAGTATGATCAACTCCATCCATTTTCTGTAACTGCTTATCCTATTTAAGGTCGCGGGGGGGTCTGGAGCCTATCCTGCAGGAACCCAGGGTGGGGGACCAACCTATCACAGGGCACACACACACACTTATGGACAATTTGGTAACTAATTAACCGCAGCATGTATTTGGACCGTGGGGGGTGGGGGGTTGGACCGGAGTAACTGGAGGAATCCCCACAACGACACAGGGAGAACGAGCAAACTCCACACACAGACTCAAACCCAGGGCAACAGAGCTAAACACCGCAACAGTGTGCCACCCCTATGATAAAGTGGGTTTTAAAATTCGTATGAATAAACTTGATATCGAAGACAACACTTTGCACAGGTGTCCAAGCAGAAGGCCATTTACTGCTCACTGCTGCCCACTTCCCTTTCACACGTCATCTGCTTTCGCAGCTACTGTCCCAAGGGGCACGTGACTTGAGGCTACGCTAGGATTCACACACAGCATGAGGTGACCACAAGTCACAGATCTCCCAATACCGCACCAAAAAGCTGCAGGCCGCCGTGGATGGCCCCAGGCCGCCCGAGGCCCCCTTCTCTCACCTGCCGTCTGCCTCGGCGGTATGCGGGGCCCCGTTAGCGCGGTCTGTAAAGGCGTCCCCTACAGCGTCGTCCTCAGGGTCGCTGTTTATGGCAGACAGGCTAAGTCAGGAGAGGGCAGAGCGTGAGCGAAAAGGAAGGGAGAGGAGAAGACTGCAGGCAAAAGAGCAGCAAAGGTCCGCAGAGGTCAGGCGACGGGCGGCCGGACAGATGGGAGGACAGGCAGGCAGGCAGAGACAGACAGACGGACGGACAGACAGGTGACAGTCGCATACGCGAGGATGACGCCGTCAAGGAACATGTGCAGCGTGAAGGTGGCAGAATCCGGCTCTGAGGGGCCCCGTCTGGGCGCGGAGACAGACCGAACCCACCACACTCACATGCTGAAAACTCCAATGACCCCCCCCCCCCACCGAAACACACACACAGATACAGTCAGCAGAATGCGGTCTGCGGAAAGGCCTTTCTGCGTGCTGTCTTTACGCAAAGGCATCCACGTGACTTTACGACAGATGCCAGGGGGGTGGGGTGGGGGGGGGGGGGGGGGAGGGGGGGGGGGGGGGGGGGGGGGGGGGGGGGGGGGGGGGGGGGGGGTGGACATGGAGAGAAGACGGTTAGTAAGACTGTGGCGGCAGGACGGTTACATTAGTGTTGCTAGGGGCAGACAGTGGGGGTGGGACGGACGACATGTGGGCCCCCCCGCTGCTCACTTACTCGGTGAGGCTACTCATCCTCCTCATCTGCGAAAAGGGGTCCCCACACACACTTTTGTCCTTCTCTGAGGGGCTTACACTTTGTGGCGAGGAGAAACACAGATAAAAGACAGGAAGAGAAAGAAGCAGGAAGGACAGAACATAGCAGAGGAGGACACGAGGGGGCCGCTTGCACAGAGGCCCCCCCAGAGGGGGCTCCTGGCCTCCATCACACACCGAGAAACAGGATGGTTGCAGGAGGGTCTGCTCAGCTGCGCGTCTGGGGACCTGTCGCGTGCGCAGCTGTGCAGACGTCCCTCAAGCACAAACCAGCCCAGACAGCCGCCGCCCCACACGATTCCCTCAAACATATCAGCACATTCAGCCCAGCTGTTGTATACTGTATGTCTCATTACCCATAATACCCTTGTCAGGAATTAACAGGTTGCATTCAGTACTTACTCTTTGTGGCCATTCTTCTTTGTGGAGAAACTTGACCCTGCATTGCTTTTGTCTGCAAAGGAGACCCTGGTGCTGCTGGGAAGGAGGGGGAAGGGTCAGCTTGGTTCTAGAACCCAACCAGAATGACCCAGTGGAGGTATGACACATTGTGATGTCATAAAGGACCCCATAGTCCTGTTCATTCATCACTTAAACAGACATAATGCTACTGGAATCATATATCAACACAAAAATAATATAATAATCTGTGATTTTAGAGATCTTTATAAAAACCTCTATGCCACAACTTTGGATTTGCATCTTACCAGCCATATGTTTTCTGTGGCTTTGGCAACGGATCATCAAAAAATGAATCGCCCTCATCTTCGTCGTCATCCAGCCCCGGGTCCAGATTGCGGGTTTCCGGCGGGGTGCTGTCCTCGCGGCCTGGCTCCCAGGATGACACCTGCACATGGCTTCTGCTCTTCAGAGAGTCAGAGGTCAAAGCGGTACTGCTGTGATTGGCCTCTGAAGCCTGTGTGAGAGTCATGGGCAAATGTCAGTGTCAGGCCCCTGACAGCAATGCTGGCCTTAATCCCACAAGAGCCTGTAGACAGTCGATAAGCAGTATCTATATGGCCTGTCTTAGTATCGCCACGATCGTCAGCTTCAGCCGTTGGCTCAGTCTCAGTTTCATCACTGTCATCAACTTCAGTCGTGGTCTCAGTCTCAGCGTTGTCACTGTCGCCAGATTTAGTCACTGCTTCATTGTCAGCATTGTCACCGTTGCCGGCTTCAGTCACTGCTTCATTGTCAGCATTGTCACNAGTCACTGCTTCATTGTCAGCATTGTCACCGTTGCCGGCTTCAGTCACTGCTTCATTGTCAGCATTGTCACTGTTGCCGGCTTCAGTCATTGCCACAATCTCCGTATCGTCATCTTTGCCGGCTTCAGTCACTGCCCCAGTCTCAGCATTGTCATCGCCACCAGCTTGTGTTTTGAAGGACTCACACCCACACAGTTAGCTCTCTCAGAAGGACAAGTGATGTTAACCCCTGGAGTCGGCGATCCCGCCGGCGGGATCTGACAGAACTTTTGCCAAACCGTTTACATAACTCCTTGGATGGTCTACTTTTCAAATATATATATATAGAAACGAAATATATTTTTACAGCTTTGTGATACGAATAGAAAGAACAAGAGTGACTGACTTAAGCGTCTGTATCTCGAAGCAGCTCTGATCGCCTTCCCACTTGCAAATCGCGCTATTCGCATGATAATAACATGATAATCCGACAGTTAGTATTGGGTAAAGAAATATGTGAATACACCCATTGTGATTGAAATAAACAAGAGCACATGTCTGGGTAGTGTTTACACTGATTGGCTACAAAACGGCACACAAACACGTCTCTGCCGCTGAAGCTTTGCGCCAGTGTTGCCACTTTCAGCAGCGAAGCTCATACCTGTGTTCATAGCTCAGTGGGCTAAGCCTGTGTGCCTGTAATCACAAGGGCGCCGGTTCAAACCCAGCCTATTTAGAACGTGAAGAGCGATCTTCAGCTGAGAGCGATACTACACGCTCCCGATGCAAGTAAAACAAAGAAAGGTGACATGGTTTGTTTTTTTCCCCGATTTAACCTAATTTTAAAAACTTTAATACTTCCGACAATGGACGTTTTGAAAAGAAGACAGATTACGGATTTAGTCAGTGTTTTTTTCATGATCCTACATAATGATTTCAGCGAGATATAAACTGAAATAGACGAGAAAGATATGCGGTCCACGATGACCTCGTTCCCAGAGCGTTAATAATAGTGAATTATTTTATTTCCATTAACTCTGCATAGGCACTGCATCATATTTATCACTTTCTATATTTATATGGTCACAGTTTTTCATGTTTCATTCCATCTACCAATAAACTGTGAAAGGGATTTTATTGTTGCTACTTTTCTTGCGCTTCAAACTGCCTTTCCAAAGTGATGGGTGTGGGTTGCAGTGACATTCCAGACTGATGGGCCATTGACAGTATGCAAACTACTACAGGTGTGAGGACACCTATCTCATCAATATTCATTGTGCAGGCCATTGACTTTGAGAAAAAGTGTGTCACTCCAAAGTTCTAATACTTTAGTAATCAAACCACATAAAATTTCAGAATGTCTCATTCACCTATGTGTAGCCAACCCCTGTATCTATAAGCTTCAGAGCTCAAAAGTCTTGGCTAAAAATGTTTATAATGTTATTTTTTTTTACAATTTCTCAGCATGTCTGAAATAGGTTTTTGAAAAGTATATGTTTAAAGCTGATTTTAACAAAAAATTGAAAAATAACATTCTCAGATTATTGGTGCTGAGTTTGTGCTGGATAAAAGCACATGTAACACTTAAATGGGATAAATGTTTTTTAGATTGGTGACATATTTTAAAATGTCAAGGCATGTCAGACTACCCCGAATGTGGCTGAGGCCTCAGGCCCCAGGGGGTTAACATCCCAGGACATGCTGTTAGATGCAGTTAGGCTGATTTCATATAGCATGAGTCCACTGGCTTGACTCTGGACAGGTTGTTACCTTAGAAGCAGCTGTTTCCATTTCCTCATTGTGTTTAATTAGTCCTTTATACCTGGGTATCTGTGCACAAGAACATGTATGTCAATGTGCAGCATAACTCAGCTCTAGGCTTTGGGTTCTCAGCAAAAAGCAAGAGACATCTCTGAGCACCAGAGGGCAGAAACTTGATTTGACAATTGTTGTGCGAGGTAAAAATTAGGTAATTATAAAGGTGATTAGTCTTTACGGTCTAAAAGCATCCAGCTATACAAAAATTGTAAGGATCCCTACACTGATATTAATGGGAAAACAAAAAGCTGCATGTGACATTACTTTTTACTAACCTCTTTGTCCTTTTCACAGAAAGCGAGACAAGGAATTAAAACAAAAAACAATGCATCAATGCATTTCCCTAAAACGACACAGATATCTGCAGTAAATGCTAGAAAGCACTGTGTACTTTCAGGTCGGTCGTGATGGGAAACACTTGCGCCATTATACTTGTTGCACTCAGGACCATGGAGTCAGATGCTGCTGGAACCGAGATGTAAAACCATGCAGCGCATGACATAGATACTGCTGGAACCGAGATATAAAACCATGCAGCGCATGACATAGATACTGCTGGAACCGAGATATAAAACCATGCAGCGCATGAC